CTAGTGCCAGCTAGCATCCTAAGTTACTAGCCACAGGCGGTTATGCCATTGCTGGAATCAGGGATGTTGAATTCCTATCGCCCGATGCCCGGGATGTAGTTCCAGGCGCCAAGCAGGTAGTTTTTTTCTACGTTTAGCCCTGCTGTGGGAAAGCAGCAGGGCTCATCTGTCAGGTGGAAGCAATTGGCAGCAGCACTGCCGCCGATTGCTTCCACACAGTGCCAGCCTCTCCACCCCCTCGTGTGAACCTCCCTTCGCCCACTATCTCCTGGGCTCCGCTTGCCCATCTGCGGGCCCGGTTTACAGCTGTTAGCTAGAGTGAAGGGAGGAGAGCGGACACATCTACTCCTCTCCCCTTCTTCTCTTGACCTGGAAGTGATGTTATGATGTCACTTTGAGAGATTCACTAAATTTAATGCGGTGCGATGTGCACTGTTTTACATTCAGTGTAGTACAGGGGAGACATGAAGGGTCTTTTAGACCTCGGATGTCTCAATAAAGAGAACCTGCTGAACAGAGCCGCAGGATACCAAAAGAAATTAGTAGGAAATAAATGCTGCGGGGGAAGTGTGGATTATAGTGAACCTGTTACTTTACACAGGTTCACTTTAAGTGCAGCAAATAAACACGTCTACAGCGGGAGGTATTCAGTCCACAGCTACATTGTATTTTCACATATCATTAGAAGATTTTTATTCTATGGTCAACTATATAGCTTTTTTTTTCTTTTTGGTTTGTTTTCACCAAACTCTGTCCATCACTACTCATAACACATAATACAGCAATCTCAATGTAACATAAAACGTCTAAAGGTACACATGGATGCCAGATGTTGTTTTCATTCCAACTGGGACACAACCTCATATCTGTCTCTTACAGAAAATAAAGAATCAAACAAGCTAGGGAATCTTTTCTGCTTGTTATTGCTTCCCACGGCATAGACATCTCACCAACTCTTCTGCATAAGGATAAATCTAAATGCTTGGTCTAGGTAAACCTTTATACTTCTAGCAGAACAGGCAGACAAATGTTTGAGGGAGGATGGATCATGTCTGTATATTTAATTGTACCCTCAGTTCTATGGGCCCCACTTGAACATCAAATTTAAATTAGTGTTTCTATGTTATCTGACTGTCAGGGACCATCGCGACGCATGGGTCTGCACATGCGTAGGTGTCTGTCAAGACATGCAGGTAGCAGGGCACTAGGACCCAGGCACACCCGTCGTCTATGACAGTGCTGGGCAGGCACTAGGACCTAGGCTGCGCCTGTCAGGTGCAGGCGGGCTACTTAAACCAGCTCTGCACAGACACTTGTTGCCGAATGGTCTTTCTGCATATCCTGTTACCTGTGTTGTGAGTATTTTGATCGGATTGTCTGACCTAGCTGCCTTCTCCTGTCCTGACCCCTTGGCTTGCCTGACTCTGCTCCTGGATGTTCCCCTTAAGATTTGATCTCCTGTTATTGACCCAGCGTGTGACCCAACCATTCTTTGCCTACTGTTTTGTACCACACCAACCCCCCCGGCTACCGACACGGCTTGTTTGACTCTGCCCTTGCTCATTCCTCCATCCATCCATCCCTCAGGGATCCCCGGGTCCCCTCACATCAGACTCACCCTGCAGGAGCCTCTGGCAGACTCCTCTACCACTGATAGAGATATCCGGTAGCTGCGACCTGGTCCCGGGGCGCTCCAAGTCCATCCCCACCATCAGGGGCCCTGGTGAACAAGTGCTCCGGAACTTAGACTCCACACTCTGGAGAGGCTCTATCAGGGGACTGATAGAGGTGCTGTCGGGTGGTCCGTTACACTGACTCTTCCTTGTATATCTTCTGGACAGACCATAATACACCAGCCAGGGAAGAAACAGAAACCTCTCAATGCCATAGCAGAGCCAGGTTATAAGGAGCCCGTAAGCACTCAAGCAACTGATTGCTATGATGATTGATGCCTTTTTAACAAATATTTAATTGCATGTCTCAGTTTTAACTAGTTTTCTCATTTCTCCAGCTTACATATCAACTTATTGGGTTAAAATGAGATAGGTCTGTTAAACTGTCCGCTTCTAAAGACTTCAAGCTGTTTCAATGAATAAAGATATACTAAGATTTCTTTCAGACATCCAAGGACTTTGGCCTTGTTCCCATAACTAATGCCTTGTTAAGAAATTTTCCAAGACACTTTATAATGCCTGAATCCTCTGAAAAAGAGACCAACGATGTACATCAAAACTATTGTGTACATTTCCAAAAAGACAGTACGTCTACCAACTTTATACTTTTTGCATTTGCTTCATCTCAAATCTATTCGTTGATTGGAGCAACAAAACCCTTGTAAAAAAACAGCAGGTCAATTACAGACAGGCAGATTAAACTGTTGAAAAACATTCCTTATAGAACACATGCAAGTTTAATAAAGAATATTAACAGGCCAAGTCATAGTATAGTGCAGTAGATTTATTGACATCTGTTTGAAATATTTCAGAACACTAGATATATTAGACTTGAGATTCCGCTTGCTACATAGTTTGAAAGAAGGTACACCAGAAATAAATGATGCTTATCTCTTTAAAAATGTTCCCCTCAGATGGGTGTGTGGAGCTGGCAGCTGTGGTCAGCTCACCTGGGTCCCCTCTGTCATGAGCGCCCCTCATACACTGGGAGAGGCATACGGGAAGTCACAGTATTAATTTACAGCTACCCACCTGACCACCGGAGAGGGAGCCTCTATAACTTCCAGAGGCAGTACTCAAACTATCACCTGAGGGGAACTCTGGACTACCCTGATGTCCTATCAACAACATCCAGGACCATAGGAGGGAGTTCAGTGGATTCTAGATACTAACCAAATTGGCAGATGGCATCAGGAAATATACATAAACGCTCATGAAATTGTGCGTTCTGGTGAGTGCGCATTCTTTCCGCACTTAATATCACAGCACCTTACCCATAGGAGGATACAGTTACATGAGAGCACCTCAATTCACTTCAAGTCACCTAATGAACTGTATATTTAATGGTGTATATACATTTTACTTATATTGTGATTTCCTTATAGCGCTGCACTACTTATTTACATTGTCTTTTTAGAGGTTTTTATGGTTACCTGGTGCACAGCTGCTTTTTTCTTCCAGAAGGCAGTACCCAAACTATCACCTGAGGGGAACTCCGGACCACCCTGATGTCCTATCAATAACATCCAGGACCATAGGAGGGAGTTCACCGGATTCTAAATACTATCCAGATTGGTAGATGACATCAGGAAATATACATAAACGTTCATTAAATTGCGCGTTCTGGTGAGTGCGCATTCTTTCCGCACTTAATATCACAGCACCTTACCCATAGGAGGATACAGTTACATGAGAGCACCTCAAGTCACTTCAAGTCACCTAATGAACTGTATATTTAATGGTGTATATACATTTTACTTATATTGTGATTTCCTTATAGCGCTGCACTACTTATTTACATTGTCTTTTTAAAGGTTTTTATGGTTACCTGGTGCACAGCTGCTTTTTTCTTTGTATGCGCTCACATATATTTACTTTATTTATCTCTTTAAAAACTTTAGGTAAAAGAGAAAAATGAGTTCAGTTTTCAAGAGTTATAATAATGAATACTGTGTACCTACAAATCATTTATTTTTCTGTCCACTCACACCACTGTTTCTTCATTTTCATGATTTTTTTTTCCTTTAAATCTGCCACTATTACTACGTTTAGTTTTCTTCTTACTTACTGCAATATGCCCGAGCTCTGAAAATGCCTAAGCACCAACCCTATCCTCCCCTGTTGGCAATGCAACAGTAAGGGGTCTACATTCGCTTGTATGTATACTGCGGCTGGCCGCACCTACAGGCACCACAACAAACTGGTACATTGCTGTCTGCTTCCGGACAACCTACTCCCTTGTAAATTGACACAGTGGGAGTTCTTCAACAATTGCTTTTTTTCAAATTTATGTTCTTTTTTCATTTATATAATAAACAATAAAAACACCCAGTGTTGATCAAATACAACCAAAAGAAAGCTTTTTGTGTGAAATAAATGATATAAATTTCATTTGGGTACAGCTTTCTATGACCGTGCAATTGTCATTTAAAGTAGTGCGTTTTGTGGCCACTAGATGACACTGACAATATAGGGGTCACACCAGGGGCGGACTGACAACTCATGGGGCCCCCGGGCAATAGGGGATCATGGGGCCCCTGTGTACTTGCCCAAACTCAAAAAAGCCTATGAAAAAGGTACCAGGGGCATCTCATGGGGGCCCCTACTGACCCCGGGCCCTCGGGCAGTGCCCGAGTTTCCAAATGGTCAGTCCGCCCCTGGGTCACACATAATAGAGGAAGTACAGCAATTGCCATCCTAAATATGTGAATGTTTATCACATCTGCAAAATGAACAGTTTATACATAGACCTCTAAGGTTCAGATAAAAGAGATCATAGAAAAGACAGTGGCAGGGGCGGACTGACCATTTGGAAACTCGGGCACTGCCCGAGGGCCCAGGGTCAGTAGGGGGCCCCATGAGATGCCCCTGGTACCTTTTTCATAGGCTTTTTTGAGTTTGGGCAAGGACACAGGGGCCCCATGATCCCCTATTGCCCGGGGGCCCCATGAGTTGTCAGTCTGCCCCTGGACAGTGGTGCTCATTTACTAAAAGGGCATCAGCTCTTTAATAGAGTCTGTACACCCAAAGGGTGGGGGTTGGGAAGGATCAGCAATCATGTGAACATTATAATTGGCTGTTACAGTGGTCACATAATCGGGAGGCCAGTTCTAACTTCACCAGTAGTTATTGAACAAGAGCGGTTTTTGACAGCTCAGTCTCTGTGCTGAGAGCATGCAGTAAATGTGATCTTAGCACAGAAGCATCAGCTACACAGTGACACATACACTATATTGCCAAAAGTATTGGGACACCCCTAAAATCCATTGGATTCAGGTGTTTCAATCACCGCCATGGACACAGGTGTATAAAATCAAGCATCTAAGCATACAGACTGCTTTTACAAACATTTGTGAAAGAATGGGTCACTCTCAGGAGCTCAGTGAATTCAAGCGTGGTCCCGTGATAAGTGGCCACCTGTGCAATAAGTCCATCCGTGACATTTCCTTACTACTAAATATTCCACGGGCAACTGTTAGTGGTATTATAACAAAGTGGAAGCAACTGGGAACAACAGCAACTCAGCCACGAAGTGGTAGGCCACGTAAAATAACAGAGAGGGGTCAGCGCATGCCGAAGCACACAGTGCGAAGAAGTCAACAATTGTCTGCAATCAATAGCTAAAGACCTCCAAACTTCGCGTGGCCTTCAGATTAGCACAACAACCGTGCGTAGAGAGCTTCACGGAATGGACTTCCATGGCCGAGCAGCTGCATCCAAGCCTTACATCACCAATGTGCAATGCAAAGTGTCAGATGCAGTGCTGTAAAACACGCCACCACTGGATTCTAGAGCAGTGGAGAAGTGTCCTCTGGAGTGACGAATCACGCTTCTGTCTGGCAATCTGATGGATGTGTCTGGGTTTGGTGGTTGATAGGAGAATGGTACTTGCCTGACTGCATTGTGATAAGTGTAAACTTTGGTGGAGGGAGGATTTTTGGTATGGTTGTTTTTCAAGGGTTGGGCTCGGCCCCTTATTTCCCAGCAAACGGAACTCTTAAGGCATCAGCATACCAAAACATTTTGAAGAAGTTCATGCTCCCAACTTTGTGGGAACAGTTTGGAGATGGCCCCTTCCTGTTCCAACATCACTGCACACCAGTGCACAAAGCAGGCTCCATAAAGACATGGCTAAGTGAGTTTGGGGTGGAGGAACTCCACCTGATGGAACACCTTTGGGATGAATTAGAGCAGAGATTGGGAGCCAGGCCTTCTCGTCCGACATCAGTGCCTGACCTCACAAATGTGCTTCTGGAAGAATGGTCAAACATTCCCATAGACAAACTCCTAAACCTTGTGGACAGCCTTCCCAGAAGAGTTGAAGCTGTTATAGCTGCAAAGGGCGGGGCCAACTCAATATTGAACCCTACGGACTAAGACTGGGATGCCATTAAAGTTCATGTGCGTGTAAAGGCAGGCGTCCCAATACTTTTGGTAATATAGTGTATGTGTGGTGTGTAGATGTTAAAGACCACTCTTGCCGTCGCACATGCAGTGTGTATGATGCGGGCAGCAACAGGTTTAATTATCCAATCAAGCAAAAAGCATCTGCACATGATTGGACACCCAAAGTGGAAGGGAATTTACTTTTCACATGAGTGGATAATTAGCGTGAATATTTACACTCTTTTCGGGTTGAAGGCCTTCTTTAGGGCTCAACAGCACTTGTTTTGACCTCTGAAGAGCGATTTGAGCTGGATCAGATGGCGTTTGATAGGCAATGAGGAGGTTTTAAGTTGTCTCTCTGTTTTAACTCCTAAATACCTGCAACACTGTGCTGCAACCGATCAGCTGAATGGGTTGTGTTAGATGGGTGGTGCTGCTGGGATAAATTTTGCATCGCGGCTGCAGCATACAGCATATGTATACCATGCTGGTAAAATCCATGGCCAGATTCATTTAAAGTCCAGCTGTTCAACATCTCTTGCATGCACTGTGTGTTTGTGTAATAGCTAATGATTGAGAGCAATCTTCTGATTTAGTGAATTTTTAATAATGGTCAATGAAATTTTCCATTTTGTTTAAATATTTTTGTTAAACTGTCCCTGTAAAAGACAGTCAAAAGAATCAATGTTTTCTGCACAATAAATATGAAGCAATATTAAATATATCTGTCCAGAAAAGTATGAAACAAATATATTGGATTCAGAAGCCAACATGATGTTCACCAGTTATTGTAAACTGGGCTCGTGCTGCAGCTTTTATTCAAATAAAATAAAATATTATCCCTTGTAGATTTAACCTTAGCAAAGATTGCCAAAGTGCATTTTACAAACATGACTACAACAGAACTTGTTACTACAAAAGCTTCAGACTGATTTAATACTAAAATGTACAGATTGTGTTGGTGAACTGTTATTGTGAGTCCACAAAACCAGATGCAACACATTTTTATATTAAAAAAACGGTGTTTGGGAGGCTGTGGTTGCTGCTGCACAAAAAAGTTAATCGTCAACAGATCAAGAAACTGACAGACTCCATGAATGGAAGGCTTATGACTGTTATTGAAAAGAAGGCTGGCTACATTGGTCACTGATTTTTTTTGTAAATGTCATAAATGTTTATTTGTAAATTTTGACTTGTTTGTTTATGATTCGCACTTTGACAGATGAAAATAAGCAAGTGAGATGGGAAGATTTTCATTTTTCATTTAGTTGCACAATAATTTTGAACACTAATAATTGCCCAATAATTGTGCACACTTAAATATTCTCCTAAGAAAGCCAAAATCTCACTTTTACTTTCTTAAATATTCAGGTTTGAGGTTTATTAACAACTTGGATTGACCGAGAGCACTGTAGTTGTTAAACAATTAAATTACCGTATTTGACGGCGTATAAGATGACTTTTTACCCCCTGAAAATCTTCTCAAAAGTCGGGGGTCGTCTTATACGCCGGTATACGGCATACTGACACTTTTTAGGGGGGCGGCCCCCCCTTCCAACGGAAGGGACACTAAGTACAGGGGTGGGCAGGGGCTGGTGTTTCTTACCTGGCTCCGGTCCCACGACGATCCAGTCCAGGAACGCGGCTGCTCCTTCAGTTCGGTCACTGGATGTTCGTGTGGCTGCTCGGCTCCGCCTCCTCGCCGGTGATTGGCCGCCAGAACTGTAGCTCAGGAAAGGCACACAGGCGGCCAATCACTGGCGAGGGGGCGGAGCCGAGCGGCCCCGCGAAAATCGAGTGCAGGAGCAGCAGGTAAGTGTTCAGTGTAGAGGTGCTGCTGCAACCACATATGCTGGCTGCAGCAGCACCATACTAAACAGGGTCAGCAAGTGTAAATGGTGTCAGTGGGAGGAATAGTGCCCCATCATTGGTGTCACTGATACTAATGATGGAGCACTATTCCTCCCACTGACATCAATGATGGGGCACTAATGATGGGGCACTATTCCTCCCACTGACATCAATGATGGGGCACTATTCCTGCCACACAATGAAACCTATTCCCCCCACTGATACTAATGATGGGGCACTATTCCTGCCACTGATACCAATGATGGGGACACTATTCCTCCCACTGTCACCAATGATGGGGCACTATTCCCCCACTGATACTAATGATGGGGCACTATTCCTGCCACTGATACCAATGATGAGGCACCTATTCCCCTCACTGATACTAATGATGGGGCACTATTCCTGCCACTGATACCAATGATGGGGCACCTATTCCCCCCACTGATACTAATGATGGGACACTATTCCTGCCACTAATACCAATGATGGGGCAGTATTCCTGCCACTAATACCAATAATGGGGCACTATTCCTCCCACTGGTGTGCATTGGAAGAGGGGTAGTCTTATACGGCGAGTATAGCCCAAACACTTCATTTTAACAGGAAAAGTAGGGGGTCGTCTTATACGCCCAGTTGTCTTATACGCTGGCAAATACGGTAATCCTCAGAAATACAATTTGCCTAATAATTGTGCACACAGTGAAATGTAGTTTTCGTGTTGTCCCTTAGTGAAGGTATCTGTGTAGTGAGCTGAAAGACTAAGGGCACAGCAGTGTACGTCCAGAACTTTTAAAATCCAAGAGGTGAAGCATGATGGGTGGCAGGGGATTGTGATGTGATATGGTGGCCCCACCATATCACACTGCCACATAATAGAATTTAAAGAGCTGTGGAGATCAGTATCCAAAACTAAACTGAATGCACTGGACATGATCATAGCCGTTGAAAATTGATATTTTATTGGATCATTCTATAAAATCTCACGTTATCTGTTGACATCATTGATAGTTCATGACATGAATAAAAGTACAATTAACTTACCACAATATCTTGAATAAAGAACATTTCCGCTCCAGTAGAAGAAAAACGGTTAGGGAAAGCTATTTCAACATACGATTCATGAAGTGTACTCGGCCCAGCATTGTAAACCTAAAAAAAGAGCACAAATATAATTTAAGGGAAAGGCTACTGCTGTAAATAACAACAATCGGGTAATTTCTCTGCACAGTATTATTTAAAGCCCAACTAAAATAGACTTTGTTACTGGGACTGGAAGACACAGTCATTAACCTCCCTGGCGGTATGATTATTTCAGATTTTTGGTGCTGAAAGCGGTACCATTATTTTGCATGGAAATATGTAGTTTTTTTTATTGTAGGCTGTATTTTTAGGAATAACTCACTGAAATCTGTCCGGACAAGAGTCTATTAAACATCCCAGGTAGGATAAAACTTGAAACAAAAATCATAAATTATAATTTAATAAATAATCATAAAAAATAATAATATAATAATAATAATACATTTAATTCAATAATATAATCAAACCGAAAACACTGAAATGTGAAATATAGCGTCAAGTTCGCACATCGCTGAGCAAAGTCGCAAAATCGTTTTCAGTGTCTGATGACAAATTTCCCCCACGAATCATTATCACTCAATTCTGCAAGTGGTTCTGATTTACTATCGCTGTTCTCTAGCTGATCTAAACCCGCTTTTGACCAAAAGGGACACTTTTTGGACGCCATAGACGTTTCTCAGTTTCCAGGCAGAAAGAACAGACAAAATGCAGGCAGTGCACCGGACAAAGCACTCGGGACAAAATGTATGTGAAATGGTTTGAAACAGCAATGTTTTACTATGAAAAATGTGTTTTGAAAAAAATGAAATTTTTTTAAATTTTCAACTTTCCCGCCGCCGCCGGCACCCGTACGTCCCGACGTCACAGGGACCGGAACACAGAAGCAGGATGCCGGCATCGGCCGGAGGAGATGGCCGGGGATGCTGCAGGGGACACATCGCGGGAGCGAAGGACAAGGTAAGCTGCTGCACGGACTCCCTATGCAACGCCGCATGGTAAGCCCGAGTGTAGCTCGGGGTTACCGCTTTTGGCACTGACATTTTACCCCGAGCTACACTCGGGAATACCGCCAGGGAGATTAATAATGACCTGACAGAAAATCCCTATTTAATGAAAAAGAAGTGTTTACTTGTTTCTGGATCATGTAAAATGTGTACACGATGATAAACATAATCATAGCAATGCTCAGCAGTGTATACATAAAGTTGTAGCAATGTCATAAGGCACACCCTTGCCAAGGTTGGTTCCAGCAGGCATGATGAAGGCCCCTTCACCCTTTCCCCCCCCATCCTAGGGAAAGGGAGCCTTGACTGCTGGAAGCTAGGCAGCTGTGTGGGTGTAAACCTAAAAAAAGGGAGGTTAAGTGGCTCCGACAGGATTGGCCACCAAGACATAAGGTTACTGGGTGAAGCCTGAACTATAGAAAAAAGGCTACGCAGGGGCATGTCCCACTACTCTGAGGGGATTCAAAC